TCATAGTATAGTATATTACATAAGCTTTAATTTAAGATTAAATAAAAGTATCAATATTTCCGAAAAATTTTCAAAAATTCATTCGAAAAAGTTTAACTTTTATGTAAAAATTGTTATTTTTAATTCCCCCTGCGAAAAGATATCGGGACAAAATTTTTTTGAACTTATAATACATGTCATAAGCTTTAATTTGATATATGTTTAAAGCTCGAAGTATTTCAGGATCATTTTAAAAGTTAAGTTGAAAAAGTTAGTTTTTGTAAAAAAGTTACTATTTTAAATCCTCCTCCTGTAAGCAGGTTAAATGTTATATTTTCAAAAAAAGAATAAAAAAAATAGGAAAATGTATAAGGTTTGAATAAAAAAAAAATGTTAATTTGTTCATTTTTAAAAAAATTATTGTAGTTTTAAGAAAAATAGTGAAAAAAAATTTCAAAAATTACTGATCTTTAAATTTGTAATTTTTTAAGAGATCTCCCCCATTTACGGGGAACGAGGGAAAATTTTTCAATTTTTAAGGATAATGTCTTCAACTAGATACGATTTGTGATCTTTTGACGTATTGTTGAAAGAAATCGGTCCAGTGAGAGCTCAGAAAATGTGGCAACAGATACGAAAAAAAAAAACATCATGGTAAAATTAATACCTTATCAGCTTCGCATCGAAGTTAAAATGATTTATAGTTAAAAACATTTTTAATTGAAATATACATTATAGTTACTGAATCCAGAAATTTTTTTGTGGAGGAGATAACAAATAAGTTTTACTTTTTTTCACAGGTTACGATCTTGTCTTTCGATGATTAGTAATATGATTTTTAAGCATTCGCAGATAATAGTTGCCGAATTAGTTATTAAATGTAGTACAAATATCTATAGAGGTTGATCAATTTTTTCATTGTGATCAAAGTTATCATTGTAGTAAACATCATACCACTCGTGTTTATAAAATCAATATTAAAAATTATTAGCAGTAACATACTTGTAGCATTTCATACTATATTATTATGGAACACTAAACAGACACCATCAAAAAACGAGTTTTTACTCACGTTATGTCTAAATAATTTTAGTATAAATATAAATTACTTCATTGTTAATATTATAATTATTTACCTATTTTTAAATAATGTTTTTATTTAAAATCAAAATTCTTATTTGATTTTACGATTTAAATCATCAAGAAAAATATATGAAATATTATCCCACCATAAATCTAAAATAAATAGTTATTGATTTGTTTTCAACTTGATGTTTATAATTAAATACATATCATACATAACATAGTAACCAGAAACGTGTAATTTAATTACATTATGTGTAAATAAATATATTATATTTCATTTTTTTTAGGTTCATTAACTTTTGTCAAGTGACATAATATGCTTTTTTTTTTTAATAAATATTTATCGCAGTTAAAAAAGTTTATTGAACTTACGAAAATTATGAATAACCTTAATATCATTATTCTTTAAATAATGTTTTTATAAAGTTATTATAACATATAATATTAGTTTAATGTTTTTATAACGTTATTTTTTTAAAATTGCCATCTGGGAAGTACTTCAATTATTTTGTAGCTATTTACAAAGAAAATGTCGATAAACGGGTATGTGAATCATTCAGTAAAATCGAACTGTATGAATCATACCTTGTAAAATAACCTGAAATTTTTTTATTTAACAAGATATATAAGTGTCATGGAGGGCAAAAAGTTAATGCTTTATAATAATATTTAACTATTTAATATCTATTTTTTGATTGATCAGGAGTGTATTTTTACTAATAAATAATATCTTAATAAATCACGTCTAATTAAATTTCATAAGTTGAAAAAACATTTTGTTTCTAAGTACACTAGTATTGACTGGTCGGTGAACTCATATTTTATTTACGGTATACCGTAAACCGCGGCAATGTATAGTGTACAACACACGTGGTTCGTGTGCTTTTTTAAGATAAAAACCACAATTGAATAACTGATCTATACATTGGCGGACATCATATTTTATTTGATAGATCAGGGAGGGAAATAAAATCAATTCTATTCTAACCCGTGATCATTATCAGCATATTGCGTCTACCGCAGAAGTGTCGATTACATTCATTCTGTCAGTAGTCTCTTTCATTCCTACGCATAATAGTGCCCGAAGGACTGCGTTCCGGTTAACGGTACACCCGCATGCTATTAACACGTTTCAATCTGCAAATCTCATTTTAACTTGCATCAAGTTTTTATTAATAATAAAAAAAAAATTATACCTGTCAGAACCAAATATTTCATATTTTATCTGTCTATAAAATATTTTAATGAAGAAATGCCAGACGTCTCTAATAATTTAAATAGCATTTTTTTTATCTATGTTCAATTCTCTATTAAAATATTAATATTTATTTATTTATTACTTATTTTTTGTTCCTTTTAAAAATAAATCATCATGATTAGCGTTATATTAACTAAAAATTCAGGAATTAAAAAAAAAACTGACAGCTCAGTAAGAATAATAAAGAATATGGACCATACTATAATTATTCGAACAATTATATTCTAGAACAGTACCATTTCAGGTAATAAACAGGAGTGGTGCTAAACCTTTTGCAGGATGTGGACCACATTTAGGGTGATTAAAAAGTTTAGCTTCAACACTAAAAACATAAACATATATAAATCCATTAAGGGCGGGCTCGGGCTCACCTTGATCCATCCCAGATGCTACCACCAGTGTTAACTGAGAAATGATTGAAACATTAAAATTGTGTTTGTTTAATTTTGCAAACATTTAAGAAAAATTATTATGTTCTCGCAGTCAGTCATAATTATAGGCTACTAAATTTAGCAGCCTTGTGTGAGATATGCAGTCACGTTTATTTCTTTTTAATCAAATGTACATGCCGTGTATAGGCGCGCGCCCGGAAGATGATCAACGTCATTGTACATCAGAGTGTTTTATTTTCGCACGGCATTAATTATGACAAACTATTTATTATGATAACATCGCGTTTTTCTTTTTTGATGGCCACCTGAATCCTGTTAAATGCCTGAGTGATATATATTATTATGATAGTGAGCTTTTCTTTCGGACGATAATTGTTATTTTTAAATCTGACATATAAATTATAATATACAAGAAAAAGTTTTAAATCTAGAAATAAGAATAATAGTGTGATTTACTTTAACAGCTAACTGTAACTTTCAAACCATTGCATGAAATACTATTGTATGTAATTTGATAAAGACCGTTTATAATACTTAAAAAAATGTCAAAAAAAGTTTTCATTTAATCAAATAAAAATGTGTAAACATCAGTATCTTTGGTATTTTCCTTTTCTTTAAACGTACGAGGTAAAATGTAATTGAAAAATTATTGTATGTGTACATATATTAGCATGCATAAATCATCAATATTAATTAGTATACAGAATAATTGCATGCATACAAGTAAAATTAGTGTATGGTATTGTACTAAATTTATATATTAATTATCTACAAAGACTTATAAAGGAATTAAGTGAAATGGAAATCCTAGCGTTTTTATTTAATTTACCGACAATGAACCTTGCGATATGACATTGAGAAAGTCTTCGTCAGATAAAACGTTGTAATTATGTTATTGAAATTAGCAGAAGTTACGGATCGTCTTCTTTTATTTCAATGTTAAACTTTAGATTCGAATTTGGTGGAAAGAAAACGTGTTGGTCTGAAGGCTTTTTACTTATTTCCTTACGCACACAGAAGTGTATTATATTAAGAATCAGGATATCCGATGTTTGATAACGTCAAACAATTAATAGTCTGATATCATTTCATATAGTCCGTTTAAAATATGCGTGAACATAAAATTAGTATGCAAAAAAATATGTACTTGTAAACTAGTGTATTTGATTTTATGAGATATGATATGAATAAAAGAATTTTTAATTTAGAAAAAAAAATAAACCTTAATATAATATAAGTCACAATTTATGAGTACGTCTGGTATTAATATATGATATTTATAAAATTTCTCCGAAGACACAAAAGAAAAAGATTTTTCGCCATAAGAGAGGCATTTTTAGTTAAATTCAAAATTATATAAATCTCTAAAAGACAATGTTTTGATAAAAATCCAAAAAGAAATCTGTGACATTATTATTCTATCCAGTTGTATCAAAATATTAATTTTGAAAAATAAGTGAGTACGTGGTGTCATGCGACGAGTGTCACGAAACGTCCAACGATTAGACTAATAATAAATAAATAATTACAAGCAATTATTTCAATCAGTAGAATCTTAAAAAAATTCACGAATAAATGAGTAAATATGCAATTTTATTCTAGTAAGTTATAAGGATGCATGATAAATAGGCTCATGTCATTAGAAAACACTCGGATAATATTAACGACCGTCTAAAGTATTTTTAAAGTGTCATAATTAATTTAATTCGTGAAAAAATATGAAATACTAAATGTCTTTATAAAAATTACGAAAAATGTAGGTATTCCACTGAAATAAATTCTATGACTGTATGGTTGATATTTTTCATATAAAAATACTCTAACGATACTTATTGGTATACCTTAATGCATATACGAAATAAATAAGATAAACCGCCAAATTGATTGAATTTAGAATAATAAAAAATTTTGTTCCAACTTCAGGTTGAACATTTTTTTTAATAATTATAAATAAGTAGTTAAAATGGATTAATATTAGAAATGTTGAGTTCATTAAAAAAATTAGACTTACAAAGATATAACATTTTGCTTGTATTGTAAAAAAGACTAGTATCATACAATTATTAGGTAAAAAAAAAAATACATTTAAACGTAAAAAAAATTTGATTTTAATTTTTGTATGATTTGGAATATTTTTTTCGATTGTTAAAAAATTAAACTATCAAAATCGTTTAGTAAAGATATTAAAAATAACTTAATAAAAAAAAATTGTTATAAATAAATCTTTAAAACTTATTTTTAAAAGTGATTAAAAACTATAGACACAATAAAGGCTTTTCACTTACCTGTGAAATGATGAGAACTTGTTTACACGGCTGTTGAGGTCACTGTCGGTTATATGATATCACTTGCTGAGCGCCACAACGACTGAATTCGCAACACAACCCATTCAGCGCTCTACAAATAGCCTCAGGATCCTTCCTCCTCATATCTTCATAAAGACAGTTGCTGGCACCCATCGTCGTCATGGATACCTGAGACGCTACTAAAATACCTTTGCCCCTCTCGTTAAAAGATAAAGGTACCATATAATTATGTACTCATATCCACTTAAGTCCCTTCACTGTAGTAGCGATAAGAAGCTGTGGATTTCAAGTCACAGCTAGCAAAAATATATTTTGCATACAATGATAAATAGTTTAAACTTATTATCATATTAAACCTATATAATGAATTTTAGCTAATACAGTACTTAATAAGAATATTATACCTAAATTTAATCCGTAATAGGCATTTGTACGTTTAATTAGCAATATACAGTTTCAACACATTTTTCTATTTATGAAAATTGAGATATATAGTTAATCTATATATCTCTAGGCTTTGAGTTTAATATTTTTTAGTTTTTTAAATTAATAATATTTTTAATATAGTTTTAATTTTACTTAATTAATTAGCCACAAGTGATCAATTTTTATTATATAGTTAATCTGTCTATACCTGTACTACAATTTTAAAGTATTTTCTTGGATAAAAATAATTTCTAAGAACTTTTTTTAAGTGAACTCAAGTGAAGAATTAAATACTGTAATGCAATTTTATTTTGACATAATGGCTTCTTTTCTTGTTTTATTATTAATATTTTTCTAGTAATGAAAAGTCAAACAATATTGAGTTAGTAATATATGAGAAAATTTACCATATAATTCTTTATCTATAATTTTCCTTTTAAAAAGCCCCAGTGTATATATTTACATTTATATTATTATTATTTTTTATAATATTTATATAAAAATGTACTTGATATGATGAAAAAAGCGAAAAAAATAGTATATTAACTAATTATTTCCATAGTACAATAACTTATATATGTTATTTAATGTAACAAGTTATAATTTTTCAAATAAAATTTGAGTCAAAGTAAAAATTTGAAATCGAAGTTTGAAATAAAACAACAAACAGAAATATTAAGACTGATATTATTGTAATGAATTTTTTTAAGTCCTATGAAACGGAGCAGAATTTTAATAGTTTAAACAGAAAATCCAAATTTCTTCTAATTTTTTTAAAGAATTTTAAATGAACTGAAAAATAATGTTTAAATGATTGTTCAAAAACTAAATATTTTATTTCTTCACTCATTACAGTACATAAAATCATAAAAATGTACCCATAAATACATAAGTTAACGTTTTTACAATTTTAAAATTAATCCATTTTAATAAACAAAAATGATATCGTAATGAAATATTTATTAAGTATAATTTTTTGTATTCTTTGAAATAGAAAATGTCAGTAAAGAACAATATGTAAAAAATAATAACATTAATTTTATCATAATTCATGCTGAAATGATTTTTTAAATTCATTTATCCTATTCAGAAAATGCTTAAAGTTCTTTTATTTGTTAAAATGTAGAATATAATTATCTATCAGATTTAACCTTCAGTGTTTACGCAACAATTCGAAAAAAAGAATACCTGATGTGTTGGTCAATTATTCTTTTTTTTAGTTAATTAGCTCAATATATTATTTAAAATATTAGTGATACAGGGACGTATCTTCAGTGATCCCTAATGTTATTACTTAATAATTTTTCTTAAAACCTTGTTCACAAAAAACGATAGCTAATAATAATCAGTAATAATCTAATCATATAATACAGTTAGACCATGTAAATGTTAACAAATTAAAAATTATTTTCTCAAATTAATTTTAAAAAAATGTTGTTATATTATTAAAAAAGAAATTGGTTTTTACCTTTTTTTTTTTAATTTATGGATTTGTGCATTAAATACATTAGTAGCGATCCAATCAAGAATTTTAATAATCATCAATGGCGATCTAAAAATTTTTCAGACAATGATTTTTAATTTAGTGTTTTAAAAAGATTATTTAGGTGTTATTTCTACTTTTATTAAAAAGTGAATTGTTCTTTCAATAAAATCACAAAATTAAACCTTACGATAAAAATTTGTAAATAGACATTTTTTATCCTTTTTGTATAATTATTAGTATTCAAATTAAAAAATGAGATACTGTTAGGATAGGGTATGATCAAGCCTGGATAAAGATTTTGTAAGATCCGTTGTTCAAAATTAAACGAGACCCCTTTATTATATGTGTCATTCGAATTTCATATTTTATGCTAAGCTTAAAACAATTTTTCGAAACTTTTAAATCTTGAGACCTTGGGGACATGACATCTCTGCCTACTTTAATTCATTTGGACATCAATACGGGGGGATATTAAAAAAAAAGTAGAAATCACGCCCCTCTATTTGTTTTTAAAATAATTATTTATTTGGGATGCAATTTTATTTTGATAGAAAGTATGATACTTAGTATGATATTTTTTATTTGTAACCTCATTATAACAAAATTTTCTTAATTAAGGATAAAACAACAATTATAATATAATTTTCGTTTAAAATGATAAAATATTGATATTATCATTATGTTATTTTATACTTTAAAAACAAAATAATAATCAGTTTAAAAAACGGAAATTTATTTAATTGATAAAAATTAATCTTTATGTTAATACAAATACTTTAATATTTGTAATAATAATTAACTAATCAATGTCAACTAGGTTATAAACCATGTTATTATTCAATAATAGCATTCTACAGGGCTGTAAAAAATATTAATTTTATAACTAAAATTTGAATGCTTGCAATTAATTTTAAAATATTTGATTTAAGTATTATACAAATCGTTCTGTTAATGCAACATGATTTTGCCTAATTGTATTATTTTATATATTGATGGGTTCAACCGAACTATTAGGTAGTCTAAAATTATGGATACGTCCGGTTTTTTACAAAACCTATCGAAATAAACGAATGTTTGTTATTATTATTTAGCTATAGAAAAATTGACACTGAACTATCAGCTGCCAAACTGTTACCATAAATGATATAATTATTAAACATTCGGCATTTTATATGCGTTAAAACAACGAAATTAAACAATAAATAAATATCTAATTTTATTAAACATTTGCATAACTTTATGTACTTTATAACTTTATATAAATACTTTTGACTATCGAACTAAGTAAAATATACAGAAATTTTTGTTCAAATAAAAATTACCCAATATTTTATCCGGCAGTTTGTTAGTTACAAGTACTCGTCATGAAAATATCATTTGATAGTTTTTATTGAAATGATAACAACTATCGAGTTGGGTTTTCGAGAATATTTTATCCGGTCGTTCGATAGTTTAAAAAATTCAGTCGAGGATAATAATATTCGAATAATTATTATTATTAATTATTGTTCGATAATTTATGAATAACTATCGAATATATACGGTAGTAAAAAAAATATTTGATAGTACCAATCGCTATATATATCAGACACCTCCAATAGGATAATAAAGTAATATTAAAAATATTCATTTACCGCGTATAGCGATCTGTTTTGTAAATATAAATCATCCGCTTGTTAGACGCGATATATAGTCTTGTCTTTATTAGTTTTTTGTTTATTATTTTTAAATAATTACCGATTATTAATAAGAATTCGGAAAATCTTGTAACAGTTATTCTATACGACTGAAATTATTTTTTCTTTTTTTGTTGTTGTGTAGCAGACGCTATGTGTGGTAAAAGTAAAGACCTTCCAATAAAACAAAACAAACAATTTTGTATTAAATGAAAAACGGTTTATTTTTATGTCGTACAGTGAATATTTTCTTTATGTTGCACATAATTTTGGAAGGTTATGATACGAAAACTCTCCAAAATACTCCACTGCGCTTAGATGTAATTTATGAAAAATATGCAACTTCTTGACCAAAGAGATATTTTATTCTAATAACATATACCAAAACTTAAAGTAACAATTTAAAGTTGGTTGTAAAAATTCTTAGATATTCATGTAAAAATACGCGTATAAAATAAGTTGTATGTTTTGTCTAAAGTATTTAAATTACAAAGTTCTGTTTATAAAAATTATTCTAAAACGTCAACAAGGTTTCGTTTGCGATTAACTTTATTTTTAATCACTTTGAACGTTGTAATGATGATCTAACCACAATATGCAAAATCCTATGTAATCTAGCATAAATAATGTAAATATGAATAAATTAATTAACTAATAGCTGTTGATGAGGTACATTTCCTACAAAATGGTTTTCATTTAATGCACACATATGTAAAGTAATAATAATTTATTAATGATGTGTAATCGCTGTATCATTTCTATTTTAAAATCTTACTAAATGTTTAAGTTCTTCATAGTTAACATTATAATGTTTATAATTGACGTATTTGTTTTTTATTTAATACAAATATTTTAAACATGGTATTACTTTAATTATATTATTAATAACTATTATGGAAAATGTACTTTACAAACTATAAAAATGTTGGTTCAAACTAAATTGTATGGTACTTACTATAATTATAGTATATACCAATGATATATACTTTTGTTATGTATGGTATATTATATTATACATAACAAAAGGGTCCAGTGCAACAATTGGGTAATCCAATATTTTAGAAAATCATTTTTTGAATAAATATTTTACATTTTAGGAGTGCTGTTAATAAAACATAGTAACTATAAGCTAAACTTTAGCTACAAGTTAAACAAATCTATTATATTATATTTTTTATTTACACAAGTATACATTAATTGTAATTTTATTTTTTAGCGAGCCAGTTACAGTATTATCTGTAATTTTTTTTGTTTATTTATTTTAAGTTGATCAATAGTTGAACTTGAATGACTACATTATGGTAATGGAATGGCTAAAATCCAACATGTACAAAGAATAGTAAGAATAGGGAATTGCACCCAAAGTTAGCAAAACTTAAATTTCTGGTAAATCGTTAGTTCAAATATTTTACAATTACTAAAAAATGAAGTATTAATATATAAGGCACAACACTTTAATGTTTCATATTTTTTAAATTAATTTAAATATGTTTTTTTTAAGTTAAAAAAAAATAATGAAATGATTCCTTTAAT